ACCTAGAATAATCATGATGTGAGAATAGAGGAGGGGCATATATTTACCTTCAACCTGCTGCAGCACGAGGGGGCTTAAAAAGCAATGCCTAGCTAAGGGAATGAAGCATTTTTTGTTATAACATTGTCATGGGTCTCTGAAGGCTCACCAGTCAAGCTGTGGTTAAAGAATAAACTAAGAGGATGGCACAATAAATCAAATTTAATCAGTTGTGATATTGTGTTCTTGGTGAGGGTGATGCAATTCTTACCACCATTACACTAACTAGCCATGGAAATTTTCCCTGTTTTCTGGTTATTAGTATTGTTGTGTGCTTTTAATAAGTACAAAGTATCTGCTTGGTATCTACAGGATTAAGCATACACTTAAGTGCTTAGCAGAAGTTTGGTCCTTAAATGACCCTTCTCTATTTCCTTTGTCATGGCACTAAACCTGCTGTGCTTCTTGAACTTTATCTGAGTGAGTGCTGCATACTGTATTTATATCAGACACATTTTATTGTTTGCATTTTGGCTTTACGAAATGTCAGAATCAATCTTATACTAATGAAATGTTCAAATTTCATCTCAGCTATGAACATAGCTGCTAATCCTATAAGATGTTTACTTTCTGCCTCTCTGGCTATGTATAGTAACAGAGAGTCTGCCAACTTAAGCACTGCTGACAAACGTCTCCCTACTGCTAGTCAGTCTAATAAATGTTATTTCATTGAGTAAAGATTTAAAATTAATTAATTCAACGTCATCAAAATCCCATGCAACCTTTGACAAGTTTGCTCTTACTGCAGGCCAATAAAAGTAGTTACCTGAACACTGCATGTGCCCCTGAATCCCACCCAACTCAGTAATTTTTATGTTTTAATCTTACAATTTAACTTTTAATGGTAGTAGCTACATTTTAGGTGGGAATGTGGAGGGAGAAAGTCGAAAGAAAAGTAAGTTGTTTCAAAAGATGCAAAACCAACAGGAAAAAGGTAAGTCAAAGGCCACTGAGCAGAGACCACCTTTCCAAGCAAATTGTAGAGTGTAGCTAGAAACCTCCCAAGCCTTCCTTTAAAATGATTTCAAAATTTCTCCTATGCCATTCTCAAAGTGAGAGCTATGCAATTCTCAATGTGAAATCTCGGGCTGCATTCCTTGTTGAAGGCTGTGGCCAAACAGTTCACAGCAGACTGTCCAGTGTGGGCGTGTTTGTGTATGTAGGGACATTTTTTACATTTAGTTTCTAAGCTTCAGGCCCTGATTTTCCTCATCCGTGGCTTCTGAGTAGCTCTTGGCACCTATGCAAACACCACCAGAAGCCTGCTCAGGCAGAATGGTGTATTTATTTGCACTGGCATAGTGCCTGAGGAATTACCCAGGAATAGGGCCCTGGTGTGGTGACCACCCTAGAAAAAACATCTCAACAAATGTTTCTCAGAATTCTGATACCCAGGGAATACTTTCTTTTAGATGGGAATTGCTAGGGAGATGATGGATGTGGCCAAGCAGCCCTTACCCTGTGCAGCAGTTCTGTGAATGGTCATTACACTTGTCACACACCACAAACCTTCATGGGACAACCAGGGCTTAGTCCTGCCAGGTTCTTGAGGGGGATCAAACATGTAGAGCACACAACTGTCTTGTAAAATTTCCCTTGCAAACCATTTAGGAACCATGGAACTTCCCCCTGCCCCCAGCCCCTTCCCCATGCTATGAAGCAAGCTGATAAGGAAGAGGAGATAACACGAACATTGTGAGACTACAACTTGGCACCTAACTTGTTCTGATGCAGATGGGCACAAAAGCTCAGCAGCAGCAGTCACTGTGTGGCTTGGTACCTCTGACTGGTGCTGCACAGCTATTGACTGTGAAAAGAGGAGACCCATTTTCAGATGCTTTCCATCAAAGCATTACTGCTCCTCATAGTTCTATGGACAGCAACCAGCCAGGAACTACATGATTTTTGGCAGCTTAGGACCAGATCTCATGGCAATGTGGTCTGACATGAAACCTGGCTGTGATATCTCTATTTCTGCACTTGTTAAGGCAGTGACACTGATGCAGCAAAGGGAGTAATTTTCAGTACAGTTTGAATTTTCTTGGATTGAAAGATCTTTGTCGCAGAAACTGAACTGTGGTGTGGCCAGCAGAGACCCAGTCCATTCGCCTTCCTTAAAATGATGAGGATTTACAGTATTTGTGTCTTGTTCCAGGGTGAACAAGGCTTACTTTTGTAGGTGAGCCAACATTGCCTTTCATGTGTTCAGACACAGGAGCCTAGATTTAAAACATGTAAATGAGATTTATTCATAGTATATGTACACAGTTATCAAAACCCATGAACACCAGCAGCTCATGGGCCTGTGTTCTTGTGAATTGGTTGTGTTTTCCTCTTGTAATGGACTTGTCCTTGTCTGATTCTCACCCTTGTTCAGTTGGGATTGCTGCAGTTTCTGTGTACTTTATAGTGTCTTATTTTGGTATCTGTGAGGGATTTGTCATCAAATCCATGTCAAAGCATGACAGAGAAGTGCTGATTAAATAAACAGTGGTTCTTGTGGTGACATGGGACCAAAAACACTTTTCTACTGTGCAGGACATGAAGTGATCTTTAAGCAGTGTGTAGACCTGGGAACTTGCACCTCAGTAAGTCTTAGGCAGAAAGGTGCCATCCCTCAAAGCCTGATTGAGAACCATTTTCTCTTTAGTATTTTTAACCTTCTCCTCTTCTGCTTAGTTCCTGCTCTGCCACTTAATGTAATGCCTGTTTATTGCAGCCTGCTTTTAGTTTGGTGCTTTTAAAAGCTCCCTGAGGCACGATGATGCCTAGAAATTAATGTATTCCCTTCCCGCACATCAAGCAGATGTGTGTATATTGAGTTAGTGTCTCCAGTGCTTAGCTAATTTCTTTTCAGAGCATAGTTGAATCACTGCTACATACCATACCCATTTGTGGCCTTTCCTCAAACTATAGGGATAGGTAGATTTAGATGCACAGTATTTTTAGCTTGAACTGCAAAGCACTTTTGTGTGACTTGCAGATTTGTGTAAAATCTCAAGTCCTAAATATGCACACTGCTCTAGGTGCTGAATGTGGCTGGATTCAACAGGAGGGTGCATAAGGCAGCCTTGGCATTCTGAGACTTAAAGTGATTGCCTTTGTTGTCTTTGCCTGCACACCTTTCTCCTACTGGTTATAATAGAAGTCATCTTTGAAAAGATTATTTCTGGGGCTTTGGTTAACCTGCTAGGTAAAAGCATCCTCCAAGTGAAAGAAAATACTCTCCTAATGTTTACGTTAGACAAAGACATGGTTGTTACTTCTCAGCTGTGGTTGAGTTTACTCATTTTTACTTATTTTCCATCAAAAAATAGAGGTCTCTCTCCACATATTTGCAGATCTTCTTTGTATCATGTCCCCTCTTGCTGAGGAAATCACCAGAAGTAACTCTTGGGAAGAGCATCAGTCCTTTCCTACTTTTCCAGCCTCACCATAAAGAAAAGTGCCATTATATGCAGAACTGAAAAAGCCAACTTCAGGTTGTACTGTGTTTATCAAGCTGAGACATCAAGATGATTTCCTGGAAATCCCCCCAGCCCCTTAAGGTAGACAAAATCCCTTTCCCACTGTACAAAAAAGACTCAGCTGTTGAAGTAAAGTCTTTTTTTTTAAAATATAGATTTATTTGAAGCACAGGAAACATCAGGATAGGCACAAATATAAAGAGAAATATTAAACATGGCAATGAGCTTGCAGCCAGACAATGCAAGCAATAACTTAGAGGCAGAGGTTACCATTTCATGTATGAAAACCTGCTGAAAATTGGTTATCATTCGTACTAGACACTCTAGGCTTTGCTCATCTCAGTTTTAATTTGAAAATATCTTGTCATTTCATCCCTTCAAAGTTTTTATTTAGAAGTGTTTGTGTAAGTAACTATATATATTAAATACTGTATAAAGTGCATTCAGATGAAGGATGGAAAAAGGTAAAGGTCCAATTTCCAGTGCATGAAAGGAGACTGAGGCAAAACATACTCAAATCATTGACTAGAAAGAGCTTGGTTATGAACCAAACCCTAAGAACACACTGAGTAATGGCACAGTAATGCAAACATGGTTTCTAGGAGACAACTTTAGAGTAGACACTAACTGCTAGAACTATGGCTTGACAGCATATTTGCCTTTAAAGTTTTGCAGAGCAAGGTCACATTCCTCTGTTGATAGTTGCTAGAATAAAAAATATGCTGAAATTTGAAATGTTCCTCCTAATGTGATCCTGAACAGTTGTTACTGTAAACAACATTCTGTTTATTTGCAAACGGCCCATTAATTCTTGGGTCTTAGTGTCTACATTTTCCTGCAGACTGTGAGCTGCTATCTTGGAATTCCAATTAGTTTTCTGTTGTTAGAAGTGCAGCCATTTCCATCTTAAACTAGTCTTTAATATTAAAGTTGTTTCTGCTAAGGTCAGTGAATCAGCATATCTCGATCAGAAGCTGAGGTTTTGTAGTTCACAAGTAGTTAAGGGAAATCTAAGGACAGCTAAAAGCAAACACCAGCTTAACTCTCAGCTTCTTCTAACTCATTTGTGTGTCTCACAAACTTGAGAACGGCTAAGGGATATTGCTAATTAAAACACACTGGAATATTGTTTTCCCTTAAGTCATGTTGGGGATGTAGAGGAATTGAGCAGCACCAAAAATTCCACTTGTTTTTAAACAAGTGGACTCCTCAGTCTCCATTCTGAGAGGTCACTGCAGTGCTGGATCCTCTTACCCCTCTTAGCATATCTGTTACTTCTGTGGAACCATGGACTTGGAAGACACTGAACATTCCCAGTCTTGTGATAGTGATGTTAAGGATAGAACAGTGGTTTTTCCCTTACACACAAACAGGAGTAACTCCTCCTGATACAAAAGTAAAATCAGACTTTTTTTTTTTTTTCTTTTAACTTGCAACTTCCATCTCTATATCAATTGTGCTTATGAACACCTAGGGGAAAAATC